CTAAGTTACATGAGGAGTAAGTGCTATAAAAATTTTTAAATGACTAAACATTAAAAAAAAGGTTATTGAACTCTGGAGAAAATGCTTGCAAGAAAAATTCCTTTTACAACAAAATGTAAAAAATAATGTCTAGTCATCTTTGCAAGTTTATTAGAAATTCAGCCAAGTAGAAAATGTGAGAAGTTTTGATGCACAAAATGTTATGGCAATAAAAATGTTATGAGTGGCAATAACAAAAGGCTATAAGTTGGTAAAAATGGCAGCAGGAAAAAAAATTTCCTTTACAATCATCTATAAATCCTGCTTGATCTTGTAATAAGTTTAAAAAGAAATCCGGTAAGGGAGTTAATGAAGAGCTGATGCCCAACAAAGATTTTATTTACTGAACTTATCAAAAATGGTCATTAACTGTGATGAAAATGGACCCGCAGCAAAAAATTATTTTCTTAACAAAGAAGCCATGATTACGCATGGCCATCTCCCGCCAAATGTGTTTGCCCATTTGTTAAGAAAGTATATGTAGTAGAGGAGCAAAAATAATTTTCAATTTAAAGAGGTCTTTTGGGTAGAATTGAACAACTGTGTATTGGGTGGAGGTGATGTTACAAGATTTTGGGGAAAACGCCTATAATTGCAAATACTGAGGCTGAAATTAACAAAGGGCAATAACTCAAAAATTATTGCAGGTAGAACGGTTTATCATTTCTTGTGTGCTGCACTCATCGTCTATTGAGAAATCTATCCACCTATGAAGTTTTCAAGTTTAAATACCACTATATGAAAAATAAGAAAGGGCAATAACTCAAAAATTATAAAGGGTAGAGTTTATAATTCTTGTGCACAGCATTCATCCTCAATAAGATCTATCCACCTATGAAGTTTCTTGTTGACATCTCAAAGACTTTGAGTTATGCTCCACTCAGGTGAAAAATAAAGTATGAAAAATGACAAAGGGCAATGACTCAAAAATTATGAAAGGTAGAGTTATCATTTCTTGGGCACTGTACAACCTCCTGAGTGAGATCTATCCCACCCATTGAAGTTTCATGTTAATATCTTCAAAAGGCTTTTTTTTGAGTTATGCTCTGGACAAAACCTAAGTTTGAAAAAATAAACAAAGGGCAATAACTCAAAAATTATGCAGGGTGGAGTTATCATTCTTGTTGCGCTGCACTCCTCCTCATTATGATCTATCCACCTATGAAGTTTCAAGTTGATACCTTAAATACTTTTTGAGATATGCTCCGGACAAAAATGACGGACGGAAGGACGGACGTACATATGGACGAAGTGCAACTCTATAAATGCCTCCCACTTCGTGGAGTCATAAAAAATCCATATAAAACTAGAACTTACAAAAATCAATGGTCAAATAAGGTTAAAAGACACTTATTTCCAATATGTTTTCCTCTTATAAATTGCCCATATCAACAAAGCATTTAAGACGACATAATTATGCAAATGCTCTTGAACCAAAATCAAACTTCAAATCGAACGTCACCTACAGGATTAGATTCAAAATGTTTTTTTCAAGTAATGTTTTAATATGTTTTAAATTCGGATCAGCTTTTAATGTAAACTTTAATCCTAATTTAAATAATGTGGTAAATGTTGGAAACTCTTCTGACACAAAGGTAATATCACAGTAGTTGGTCAATATTTGAAGTTTGCGCTCAACCCGAAGCTAAAACGGTGTGGGGGCAATTTTAATATGCATTTCATTACTGCCCATGAACAGCCTGCAATATTTTTCATATTGTGTCGCGTTCGTTCCCTTTTCATATATTGTGATTAGTTTCCCACTTATAAAAGGTTTTCTCCCATTACTTCGAGCGCCAACTTGCTTTCGGAGATCTGGCACATCTAGCCCGCTACACTGTTTGCCCGCCCACTTCACACTGCCAGGTAATGTATCATAACATTTTTTATGTTCAATCAATAAAGTTTTTAGATTTTTAGCCCGCTGGCCCGCCAGCCCGCCCAGTTCACACTGCTAGCCCCGCTACACTGCTAGCCCGCCCACTTCACACTGCTAGGGTAATGTATCATAACGTTTTTATGTTAAATCAAATAAAGTTTTAGATCATAGCCCGCTGGCCCGCCAGCCGCCCAGTTCACACTGCTAGCGCCGCTACAACTGTTAGCTCGCCCCCACTTCACACCTGGTAGGGTAATGTATCATAACGTTTTTATGTTAAATAAATAAAGTTTTAGATTTTGGCCCGCCTGGCCCGCCAGCCCGCCCAGTTCACACTGCTAGCCCGCTATACACTGTTAGCCGCCCACTTCACACTGCAGGTAATGTATCATAACATTTTATGTTCAATCAATAAGTTTAAGATTTTAGCCCGCTGTCCCCGCCAGCCCGCCCAGTTCACACTGCTAGCTCGCTTCACTGCTAGCCCGCCCACTTCACACTGCAAGGTAATGTATCAAAACGTTTTTATGTTCAATCAATAAAGTTTTATATTTTAGCCCGCTGGCCCGCCAGCCCGCCCAGTTCACACTGCTAGCCCGCTACACTGTTAGCCCGCCCACTTTCACACTGCAGGTAATGTATCATAACATTTTTTATGTTCAATCAATAAAGTTTTAGATTTTAGCCCGCTGGCCCGCCGTCCGCCCAGTTCACAACTGCTAGCCCGCTACACTGCTAGCCCGCCCACTTTCACACTGCCAGTTTAATTGTATCATAACGTTTTTTATGTTCAATCAATAAAGTTTTAGATTTTGGCCCGCTGGCCCGCCAGCCCGCCCAGTTCACACTGCTAGCCTCCTACACTGCTAGCCCGCCCACTTCACACTGGTAGGTAATGTATCATAACGTTTTTATGTTCAAATCAATAAAGTTTTAGATTTTTAGCCCGCCTGTCCCGCCAGCCCGCCCAGTTCACACTGCTAGCCCGCTACACACTGTTAGCCCGCCTACTTCACACTGCCAGGTAATGTATCATAACATTTTTATGTTCAATCAATAAAGTTTTAGATTTTAGCCCGCTGGCCCGCCAGCCCGCCCAGTTCACACTGCTAGCCCGCTAGACTGCTAGCCCGCCCAGTTCACACTGTTAGCCCGCTAGGCTGCTAGCCTGCCCAGTTCACACTGTTAGCCCGCTAGACTATTAGCCCGCTCAGTTCATACTGTTAGCCCGCTAGACTGCTAGCCCGTTAGCCCGCGTACTTCACGGACATCAAATAATGTTACTTTGGCCGAAACATTCTTCATGTAGTAATAGTCAAACAGGCTGTAAAATCATGATTTGAAAATAAGATAAACACATGAAAAAAATGTTTAAAAAAAATGTCTTTCTGGGCTTTTAACTAAAATAAATTGTAAAATATTTTGAACATTGCTATCGCTTTCATTGAAATAAAAGCTCGTCTTTTTCTGGAAATTAAAAATTTATGGCGCTACAAGGAAGCTTTTGCCTTTACTAAATATGAGCCAGGAAGAGTTTTTTTCTTTTGTTAAAAAAGTGTGATTAAATTCCATCATTTTCAATATGATTTATTTAAGACGTCTTTAATAAAGTTTTTTTTGGTCGAAGGTTTGCCACACATGTCTTAAGCATACAATGTGCGAGCATTTTAAGGTCAGTTAAACGGTTTTGCTTGGTAGTGGGAAATCAGTCAAAAAAATTTAGTCAATCAATCAATCGGAGCCATAAGTCGGTGATTAATCGATAAATGGTGTTTGAGCAACAAAATACAAAAAACAAAAACTTTTTCTATTTGAGACTTCGTCTGGAAAGGTTTTTGTTTATTTTAGTTTAAGTGGCAAGGTCCTAACGTATGCTCCGGGCAGTTGTTGCCTAGTGGTTAGGGCCTCTGACTTTCAGCCCAAGGTCCAAGACCATTGTTAGATGAGATCAGAACCATGTCTACTCTAATGACACCAGTGCTTGACACCAGCACTGGTGTCAGGGAGCGTGCTGAAAAGTAAAGTTTTATAGACCTTAAGGCTTTGTTTTACAATCAAGCACAACTAAATATGTTTCAGCTACAAACTTCAGAATTATAAGTCTTTATATCACTTCAGATGCAATAAAGTCTTACGTTAATATACTTTATTCAATTCTTTGGTCCCCTTAAAGATTTTTTTAGTTTAACACAACTTGTATATACAGATCAGTTTACATACGGAAACAATATCGAACTAAAGTCATATTTTACATTTATGGTATTAGATAACAAATGTATTGTAAATTATTTAAAGTATCCACATTAAGCATGCAAAACAAACGAATTTATGCACATTTAGGAAGTTAAAAAGTTTAGTACATCAAATAACTGATTACATTTGAAAAGACTGACTACCCTCTCTATGCTTTAAAATGTTTTGTTAATTCAATTCAATATTTATAATATCAATAAGTTATAGTTAACGATGGAGCGTTAAAGGGGAGACTAAAGCTGTTTAAAATGTTTACCGTTGTCTTATAAGTGTCTAAGTAATAGAAAGAGTATCGAAACATGAGGCTATCTAATTTGTACGAGAGAACATAGCCCCCCCCCACCCCCCATAAATGAAAACGTACTGATTTATACTCGGGGACTATACACTCCCTCATACAAACCAGATAGCCCCGTGTTTCGATACTCGTTCTTTCCAGATAGACGTGACTAAACGAACTAAAGTCACCACTTTGCCGTAGGCCTACTTTCGCTCCGCGCACCAATAAAAGTATGATGTAATTGTATTTGCAAGTCGCTTATATGAATTAAACGCCATTTAGTAATCAAAAATCTTGATCCTGATGTTTTTGCCTATGTCAATTTGCACATTTGTAAAGACAAAAAGTTCGTCAAAAAAAGAGAAAATTTAACCCCCGTCCCCCTTAAAAAACAACAACAACAAAACAACAACGAACAACATATACATGTTATTGCAAGGTAGGAGGATGCAAGGAAACATGTACTAGCAGACGTCTCGATTCGATTCTTCCATCGATTTTTTAGCTGACTGGAAACTGTTAAAGATGCTTTTCTTTTATTAAAATTTTATATAAATTTCTTTTCAGACTATATTAAAGCTTTTGTTAGATCTCAAATGGAACCGAATAGCAATTGTTTATGTCAACGATACGTACGGTCGAGTTGGTGCATATATGTTGCAACAAGCCGCCGAGAAGAACGGCATATGTTTGTCTAAAATGAATGCAATAGAAATTGACGACAGCAGACGTGTTGACATCACTGAATAAGAAATATCCTATCCGATTATGTGTTAGACCCACCCAGCATTGAAGGTGTCGTCTTCTTCGGAACTGACGTCATTACTAAGCAAGTCATGCAAATATTAGAAAATCTTCCGACGCAAGATGCCCCGATAGTTATACTATCCGAATCAGAGCTCAACACAGACGTGTTTCTTTCCAACTCGGGTGATTTGTTAGGGAAAACAAAAGGCACGATTGCTATTGCTATGCAGAACTTAGAAGTACTGGAGTTTGTACGATATTGGGAGTCTATGCTTTCAAACAAAACCGCCATGATAGCTGCTGTGGACCACAACCCTTATTTAGAGGACGTATTTCTCCAATACACGGGTTGTGATATAGAATCCGCAAGCTGTGAGGCATTAACTAAAGAACAAATAGCTCAGATGTCATCGAAACTGTTCTACGTTCACTACTCCGTGTTTGCTGTCCATACACTTATTAAAGCTATAGAAAAATTCAACGATACAGTTTGCAAAGGAGACTGCAACACCAAAGAGAAATTCAAGTCATATTTCCAACCAAACCATCTTGTTGAAGCTATGGATGGACTATCCGTGTCATATGGCGGTATTGATGCTTCGTTTACTAGAAGACACCCCGAATATTCAACTTGCAGACGGCGAGACGGAATACGAGGTGTATTAATTTTAGGAAAGACCCAGATAACGGTGACGAATTTGCATTCGTTAAGGTAGGATGTTTCAATACTACACTGTACTTCTTTAGGAGCAGAAAAAAAAATCAAAGAAATGCATGCCAGTCAATAAAATGATTTGAAGCTAAAAATCTAAACAGTTTGTTACTATGTGAAATTTTTAGGAGACGCGTCTAGTTCATTTCTTTACTATCCAATCAAAACGATGCATAAGATACTTTCCTGCTTAATATTCTAAAACACCATGTATAACCCAAAGCGAAAAAATGCAAAAATAATGAAGGAATTGTGCAAAATATTAACACCATTTTCGAATACATGTATGTGCATAGATTCTGCATTACTACTGCACAAGTTTATTTCTTGGCATTTATACATTTTTATGAAAAGCTAGACAATGACTTAAAAAAAATATGTCGTTTATTTTCATTGGTATCAGGTAGGATATCTATCGGACGATGTTCTGCATTTGGACACGGACAAGATAAAGGATTACAAATCTGATGGGACAGAAAGAAGCTACCCAAATATAAGGAGAGGACAATGCCCTGTTGGGAGCAGATGTGATAAATGCATTGATAGCGATATTACAGAAATAAACTATCATATTCCAGGAGATTTCTATGTCATAGGTAAAACTGATATAAGAGTGAATAATGATATTCATATAACATTGATTACTGGTATTGAATACATTAAATAAAGACAACCACCTAAATGGACAATTCTGATCTCTTTTTTGCCCATTTATCTGCCTTTTTACACATATAGAGAAATTATTGAAATTTCGTATAAGCATTATATCTTACACATTTTACATGCTCAGCTCCTCTTTATGGTCCTTTACAAGTAACAATGTACTTCTTGTATAGTACTTAGTTACTTATTGTATTCTTGTTAATATATATAAGTTATAAAATGCAGGTACAATGAACTGCAATTACAAAAGTTATATTATGTTGCTACTAAAACTATTTTGTTAAAACGATTTTACAGGAGAGAGTTTCATATTGAGTTTAAGCTTTCTACTCAATCCTGAATGCAATTTATGTCCTCAATTAAAAATTTTGTTTGAAAATATGTAAGAAGAAGTAAATATTGTTTAAACCAAATGGGCAGGAATACTTCTGTGAGGGAAAACTAACTGTAGGATATTTTAGCCACACTGTAATCAATACATGACATGACCAAAACAAATATTTTATGAATGACCCTTTTCTCCTTCCATTGTTTCGTCATTTCATATTCGCAAAGTAGTCCGCCTTGTCATTCAAATTACATTGCATACATGTTAAAGAAACTTCATAGAGGTCCAAAAGCCCTAAAACATTTTTTTTTTAATTTCTGGCATTAATTAGCTGGGACACTTAAAACAAAGATAATTAATTATCAAAAATACATTGAAAATATATGTTTGTGCTATAATTAGTGCGATTTGAATGAAAGCATTGTAGCTTTTCAATTCTGGGTCATTTTTCACAATTATAACAAGCACTCTGGAAAAATCGGAGAGAGCGAATGATTTAAAATTTTGCACACAAGTTATTGGTCTAGACGACCATCAAACGGAACACGAATCTCGAAAAAAATGTTTTCATTTCCGAGTCCCTTTAAAATAACTTTTTTTCTCGTTTATTTTACAGGAATCGTATCTATTAACAATAAAGCAATTCCCGGGCCCATTGGATGTGGTACAGTCAGAACAAGGCACGGATACCAAATGTATTTGTCTATGGAAGTAAGAAATAAAAACATTTGTTACGCATTCATTCAATGACTATCTTATTCTACGGCTAATAATATTTATTTCTTCAAATAATATACCATGATAAGTTGTACCGTTGGAATTGATCGAGAAATGACGTATTCCCAGGAGCTCACTGAGTGAATACAACTTTGAGTCTGCAATTTTGTTGTGATTTATGCTTCAAAAGAATCATACTTTATCAAGATTGTTATACTTCACAACGGCAGTTGCCAATTGCTGTTTGGCAGCCGTAAAAAGTTGCTCCGTACTTCACTTGAGTGTTGTTATATTTTTTTCTGGTCCCTCGGGGTTATTGATTATTGCAGCACTTGTGTTGAAAATTGAGTACCGCTCAAACCGGTCCTTGGGGGCGTGACAGATGTTGCACTTTCTCATTATCCATTATGAACAGACTCAATCAAACCGTTTCTGTAATTTCCTACGACTATTGTTCATATATATTGTAGATATTTTAGTTCTTTTCATATAAATTATAAATGACTTCGTAGGTTTCTACAACTGTCTGATGATATCGATATATTCATCAGGGCACATTATCTTTGAAATCAAGTTTACTTTGTTAGAGGTCGAGCATATACTTCAAATATTGTGGCAAAGTTATTTTTGATCATAAAAATTATTTTTACATGTCTATCATTATGTAACTTTCTATATAGATTTATTTACCATAATTTGAATTCCAACTACAGTGTAAACTCTGTTTTAATTGATAAAAAGCATGTCTTTATCTTTATCTAAAAAAATTTGATGGGTTTTAAAAATAGCACGTTAATAATCATAATTTTGCTGCAACCTTTGCTTCACATGTCTGTACAACGTTTCTATCCACTTTGAATATGTATCAATTTTTTCTTCTTCAGTACAGTTTAAACGAATTTCATACTAAAAGCTGGTATTCCCAGTACAAGAATATGTTTGCTGACAAGTCTGTAGGACTAATTGTAATCAACAGTTGTAACAATGCACTTGAAGTAGTGTCAAAAATTCTTGACCTTCACTCAAAAGGTTTAAAGTTACCAAATGGAACATTCCTGGATCTGACTGGCCGCATTCTTGGTAAGTTGGTGAGTGAGACTGAAAAAAAGTGTTGGAGCACCACACTAAGTACCGTATTCCTGTATAAACCGAACAAGGCACTTGAATGGTTAAATGCTTAAATTATTGTTTTCCACTCGCCGAAATGCACTATAAGATGTGTAATCTATCTGTTCATATTTCTGTTTATATTAATGAAAAATGTAAGAATCGGCGAAAAAGAAGAAAGTTTTCTACTTTCTGATCATGATTTCTGCAAGCGTCTGGCGGTATTGCTCCAACACTGTATTGAGTTAGATCCAATAGAGTCATTGCTGTGTTAATGTTATCACTAAATATGTAAGTTTCAAAAATGAAATATTTAATGAACATGTCGATGTTTTTTCAATAAGGACAAAAATCAAAATATGTACTCGCTGAATTATCAACAATGCAGACAACGATTTTGGTCTGCTATGGTTTTAGTTGCCGCCTTGCAAGCTAAGTGTTAAAATTGTTTTTCTTAATAATAATAAAAAGTCGATGCACCGTTTTCTTTTGTTCGATTAAAAGCAGAAAGTTTTTTCCTTAAACATAGACTTTCGATGAATCAAAGGTTTTTTATCACATCGCTACTTTTGTTGCCATTTAATATTGACACTTTTTTGTGTTTTGTTTTAGGTTATGTTGGTGGTCAAGCGACCGAAGTTAGTCAACCTACTGCTGCACAATTAACAAAACTGAACTTTGTACAAATAAGCTACACATCTACGAACCCCGTACTCAGTGACAAGCATCTGTATCCTTATTTCTTGCGCATGATTTCGCCTGATAATTTACAAGCTGAAGCAATGATAGAAATAGTAAAAGGTAAGGTTTTAATCGTGAAAATCTTCGGAACATTTCGTTTCATTCCGTCCGTATTAAATGGTATAAAGCTAAAATTGGCGGGAAAAACTATATTAGTTTTAAAATCTTCTTTTTGTATACAGTTTGTTTCATCGTATTCTTAGTAGAATAATATCTGGAGAGAAATTTAATGGAATCCATATGTGATACTTGACGGATATGGATTTTATAAAAAACAGATAATGACATTTCCCAAACTTAATATTCAATGCAAATTTTATATGTTTAGCGATAATGCGCTCATGCGCAGTTGAGCTCGGACATTTAAATTAAGTCAGATTGTTATTTGTCTCGAACTGTTGGTTCATATCAGTAGTCGATAACTTGCGGAGTAAATTTGCTCTTACTTGTTAAGTAATTATCCAGATAAGCCGGTTAGATTGGCCAACACACGGAGCCTGCGTGCAGCATTTTCAATTTTGCACCCTTTGCGTTCTGAAAGGTTACAATAATATCTTAATATCTATTTTTGATATTTTGCAGCGCTTGGAGGGGAATACATCCAGATTGTGTATAGTGAAGGCGGTTATGGTGTCGGAGGAAGGGACTCTATTAGAGAGGTTGCAAAAGCCAAGAAGATTTGTATCATACAGGAAATAATGGTCGTAGAGGCGGAAACGAATGCATACTTCGGTTATTATGAGATGATGCGAAGAAAACCGCACGCTAAACTCGTAATTATATTCTTACGATCTCACATTGTTGGTCATTTCTTGAGAGATGTTAACACTGAAATGACAAGAGGTGAATTTCAGTTTATTGGATCAGAAGCTTGGGGCAAGAACAGAGACGCGTTACAATACGATATCAGCAAAGGGGCTATTATAACAGCAGTTGAAATGGACACTGACAGAGATCTGGAAGTCTATATCAAAGGTAGTGTGAAAATTATGCAACAAGCATATCAACTGGTTTTCATTTTATTTCAGGATTTAGAAAAAATGCTGCCGATGAATGCAAGCAAGATAATTTAAAGTCTGTCTGCTGATATTTTTTGTCAATTTGAGTTTGCTTAACTTCTTCCTATTTGGCAACATTTCATTCCATTTCGTGAAATGTTGCCATTTCGAAACCTGACAATATTAAGTGTGATTTTTTTTGCATGTGAGGTCCTGTTTTTAACTTTTCTTTCTTACATGACAAGCATATTGGTAAATGTAAAACTGTGTCTTTCTATCAACTACAGCTACTTTTAGCGGTTTATTCTTCTCAAATGTTGTTTTATCCTGTCCAAATCAAAGATATTACCGTACGCAGTGTTTGAGTTAGGCGCTTGACAGTATTGACAACTACTTTAAGTCAGGGTGATAAGAGATGGTTTATTTTCGCCGTTTCTCATGTACACTTAAAACGAGCCTAATATTCTCATTTTCATTGCGGTAATCCTTTATAAGATATTCACAGTTTTGAACTAACATAAAAAGCTAAACTATTTAACATCTGGGGAAACGGTGATTTCTTCGAAGCATTAATCACAATAAAATTGCATGATAAGTTGCCGTCTCGGTTTGACTGAATCTGTACATGAGGGATAATAAAAAAGTGCAACACCCTCACGCCCGTTAGCACCGGTTTGAGTGGTATTCAGTTTTCAACACTTAATATTGCCGGAATCAATGATCCTGAAAGACCAGAAAAAAATATAACAACATTGAAGTTGCTTAGTAAAAACTGATTTTACAATTTAACATAACGATTTATGCATCCATTCAACTCTTATTTTTCCACTAGTTTTATTATTGCTAGTTAACAAATGTGCTTATATTATTTACTTCAGATCAACACCTTCTATTGATGTTCCCAAAATCCTTGGCTATTAAAACTATATACAGAATAGACAACAAATGCTATATGAGTTGGAGTTATGATAAAACATTTCCGAAAGAGTGTAGCGCTGTAATTTGCCTACAAATGAAATCGATTTTCGTGTTTCGGATCCAGGGTGTACATATTCGTTGCAAAGACTATGTCGGCATTCTTGAAAGGTAGTTAAATGCCACGTCCACCTTAATTTGAGATCGAATGCATTGAGTTTTCAATGAACCAATTCAAACACAAATATAAATATAATATAATTTTTCCTTTAATTCTGCTTCAATCTTCTGGTCGAAATTTGATATTTTTTTTTAATTTTGTGTATCAATTTTTTTAGTTAAATACTGTATAACACAGTACCTGTGACTGATTTATTTAACCCATTGCACGTCATGAAAGAAACAGTTACAATAATATCGCATTTAAGCTACTTTATTGTAACAACAAACTTAGAGTCAGAACATAAACAACAATATTTATTAAAACTGTTTGACTACATTTAGTATATGGTTAATCGTTTCTCTTTCTTTGTCAGGGGCGGCAATGTTTTACAGTGACAAATGTGGTGCATCATCCAGCAAAACACTTTGCTCTGACTATGTCAGCAATCCAAAGCAATTGTTCAATGTGATGAGGGTTGTCAAAATGAACATTTATGGAACTGGGGATATTTTGGTGAGGATGATAATTAGGTGTTATTCATACCTTTGCATTGTAATTTTTTGAAATCTGCACTATACATATTTTTTATTCCATTTGCAAGCCGTGCCATACTGGATAAAGAAAACAATCAGAGAGGTTGTTAAACTAATAATTTCATTACAAAATGAGGGTTTATCACTAGTATAACTGAACAACGCATCAAATGTTAAAGTACTTCTTTACTAGCCATAAATTTGGGTAAGAAAATATACAACATCGTTACAAAACTTAAATTCAAAACGTTTTGAAGAGAAAAAAACACAAGGCCATTTTCTTGTTTGTTGACACAGGTTTAAACAGAAAACAAACAACAACAAAAAAAAAAACGAATTTTTAATTGCGGATTTTTTTTTGGAAATAAAAGTACTACAAAACTAGTGCTAATCGACTTTAATAATAATAATAATAATAATTATAACAATAATAATAATAATTATAATTATAATAATAATAGTAATAAAAAACCCAGATTTAAAAGGGTATTATTCAGACATAGTTTCATGGCCCTTATAATCTGTCTTTTGTATGGACTGCAGAATAGTTCTATTGGCTTCAGCACTATCAATCTGTGTAGATATAAATACTTAGGTTAATAACTTATCCTTGTACGGAATAATTTTACTGGGTTTTCCACAAATATGGAGCTAGCAAAGCCCGCATGTGTCCATGCAGATTGACTAGATTTTAAATTGTTGGTAGATCATTTTCTTTTGTAATTTAATATTGAAAAATTTGCTCCAATGCTTTAGAAGGACTGTTCTTAACTCAAAGCTTGGTAAATGTATAAATCTAATTCGGCAGGTTTAGGGCGGACATAATGTACAATAGGTCAAATTATTTTTGTAATAAACAAATTGGCTGCAATATTTTCAGATTTTTGATGAAAAAGGAGACGGTTTAATGGGCTATAAAATCTACAACATTCAAGCAGGACAAACTGATAGAACGCAAAGAGTTTACACTGAAGTACCTCTTTATTTATATTTAGAGATAATTCAGTAATAATTGTTCTTGATACTGTTTCAATACTACTCTTCTAGATTTGAAGCTTGTAAATGTGATGCCTCATTACCCAAATGCCTTACAGGAGGTCGGTCGTTCTACTAGGTTCACGGTTTTTCATAAAAAACAGTACGCGAAATGGCAATATTTTAATATACGTCATCCCCTACCTGTAAAAGCCGGGAAATCACTGTATAACCTTTTACAGTGTCAATGTGATTTATAATCCAACAAAATAAACACACGTTATCATCGACTTTATCAGTTAATTCAGATATCTTATTCAAAATAACCATTGAAGATAAATAGATAGATGTAAGAGTTGGCATAAACTTTCAAAACTGCAGGTTGATATAAAATGTATGTACATTTTTTTTACAATTGATATGCGACCATAGATAATATATAACATTAAACATATATTTGAGTCAATGTTTAATACAAGGACATGCAATATATGAACATGTGCATGGCTAATTTCTTTTATAATTGATATTCCTATGATTTTTACTTAAAAAATAGGGTTGTTTATAATTGCTCGTCTTCAATGTGCAGATAAAATTATTTGAATATTTCTCCTCAGGTTGGAAGTTACAGCCCTAGCACTGGTCTTCGAATCACTTTAGAGGACATAGAATTCCCCAGAGATGAATCCATCAGATCCTCATGTCCGAGTGAAGGTGCATGCCTCTCATGTTTAGGCAAAGACCCTCCTGTCCTGTCCACATCAACTGAAGAGTAACTATTCTGTTGTTATTTTTTTTCAAATATTTAGATAACCTTAAATAATAGAATTTAGAGAATACATCGTCAAAACTTTAATGAGAGTTTTGGAAGTGTAAATAGATAAAATTATGTAACAATGTGATATACAAATTAAAGGCATTTAGGTATGTTAGGTCATTTGTAAGTTCGCTTAGAATTCTGATGATATTGCTATAAGGAACTCTACTGAGGTTAAAAAGCCTAAAATCATAAACTTTAGAATTCTTACAAAGGAAAATAAATAAATATGCTCTGACTTACTTTAAAAATCAATTTTTTTGTGTGAATTTTAGTCCGATTTTACTGAAAAGTGTTGTGACCCTTTTCATTTTTGCGTTATTTTGCACAACAAAAAATATGATGCTGGTAAAAACGAGGAGAGGGAATGAAAATTTTCACAAATCTGATTGGTCTAGACATACACCAAGTGGTACAAAAATATTGGAAAAATACTTCCTGGCCAGTACACCCACAGATTATAGTTTATACAGAATTTATTTTAGTTTGACTGAATGAAGCTATAAGCTTATAAAACACTCTCGAATCCGTTTCTGGATCCAACCAGTACTAAGCAATGAGTGTAAAATGTCTTGCTCAAGGAAACAACAATCTTGCCAGTGACAGGGTTTGAACCTACGCGACTAGCGATCCTTAGATAACTAGTCTGACGCAGTAACCACACGGTCACGCTCTATCATATTTATATGTCTGTGCCTTTTTACATTATATGTCATCTGCTACGTCAAATTTGATCGGACCGGGCCTAAAACATTTTATTTTTATTTTGCCGTATCGGGCGTCCGTTTTGAAAACATTTCTAGTATAATCTTATTTTAAATAATATTTTGTTTCTGATTTCTGCAGAGGTAGCACTGATACAGTATCTATGTTGGGAGCCTTTGTTGGAATTCTCATCTGGGTGATAATTATTCTTGTTTTTGTTATCATTCTAAACTGGAGGAAACAACGCAAGACACCAAGTAAGATTGTAAAAATATTATGTAAAATGTTATGTTAAAATGCTGTGTTAATATGTTTTGTTCAGACGTTATCTTAAAACAATAATGTTAAAATGATACGCTAAATCTTATGTATTAAGAAACACATGTTGTATCATATGTCAGTATAATTTTAGCATCCCCATTCCAATATCATTGGTCCATATTATCATTCAAAAGTTCATTTTATTCATTCTTTAGAGAGCTGTAACCACCGTTCTTCGTGTTAATGAATTGACCTTTATAGTGTACTTAGTTTATATAGCTACTACGGTATTAAAATTATAGTAAGCCAAGGCTCGCATATATAATTTTACACTTGCATCATTAAATTTATTAAAAGAAACAATTTCTACATTTGATTTGGAATAGACTATATCCAGTTTTTTTAAAGAAAAATCAGTATCAAAATACGTATGAAAATAGAGTGTCAACAGTCTTTGACTTGTAATATTTAAGCTGCATGTATTCTAGGGCATATGTCCCATCATCCTCACTGATGACATCACATAATTAATATGGTGTAATTTTTGATTTAGTAAAATAGGCATGTCATTATTATCATTAACTTTCAAAAAGTTTGAATCAAAATTTTGAGCCGCACCATGACAAAACCAACATTATTGGTTTGCAACCAGCATGGATCAAGACCAGCCTGCGCAGATCAGGATCCATGCTGTTCGCTTACAAACCCAATAACAAGAAGTGAAACTGATAGCGAACAGCATGGATCCTGATCAGACTTCGCGGGTATGCAGGCTGGACTGGATCCATGCTTGTCGCAAACCCATTATGTTGGTTTTATCGTGACGCGGCTCAAATATGCAAAGCCGAGCATGTGCATCAGGAATATATGATAGAAAAAACTGATGTACGATATGTTGTTTTGTTTTTTTGTTATGTGAAAATTGATATTTTGAAACAAACTTTCATAAACCGATGTAAAAAATACTTTCACAAACCGATGTAAAATATATGTTTTGTTATGTAAAAGTTGATATTTTGAGACAAACTGTAATTTTTAAGATGAAATTCTCGTTTATAGCCAGATATTTGTTATATTTGTAGATGACGTATACATTACCCCCACGGAATGCCTGAGCGAGAGACCCTCTGTAGAAGGTAGACATTCTGATACAGATAGTAGAAATGGAAGTGGTAACAATAATTATATAACCGTAAATCATGTTGATCCACCACCAGGGTGTCCAAATGAAGAGTTCGTTAGTAAATAAAAACAGACGACATCTTATTTCTTGCTGCTTTGTTGAGCTTTGCAATTATAACTGTTATATGTTTTAAATGTATGCATTTTAGACTTCTTTAGCAATGATTTACATATAAAATGTAACCAATGACATTCCAGCATTTGCACCACGTGATGTGCCAATATAATTCATTATTGGATCCAAGCTTATCAATTTTGCCTCGTTTTAATTTCTCGAGTCCAAAATTCCATATGAAATGCATATTGCACTCCATCTAGCTCCGTTTTCATTTTCCGAATCCAAAACAGTCATATCAAATCCATATTGTACTTTATCTTACCTCGAGTTCAAAAAGGTCGATTTAAAATCTATATTGTCCTTGAAGTAACTGTATCTTTAATATTGTACAAAACACAATTGACTTTAATCTATTAAGTTTTCTCTTAAGAAATGGTCATGTCAAATATGGTGAATTATACATTTGAAGAACTATACCGATTTTGTTTGACTCGTAGCGTCTCGTCCAATATAGGTTTAACTTTAACAGCTGTATACTCAACAATGTACATGTATAAGAATCTCATTATATAAAAAAGTGCCTTATAGGAGAATTCCACTCATTTAAATAATATAAACAAAAGATCATATCCCATTTATTATTTATTCTACAAAAATTATTTAGATATCTGAAACAAATCTAGGTAAGTTGAAGTAAAATGTAGTATTCCCCACTGTTTATCATCCTTTTAACTATTCAAAGAGCAATAAGCAAGTTTCCATAGCTGTTGTATATATACCATTCAACCCCCTCAATCCTTATAAAACACGTGTGGTCCTTTACTCACTGTTTATCTCCCTTTAAACTTTTCGAATAATAATTATTGACAAATTTCCTTTACTTTTGTACATGTATATATACTAATTGTCTCCCCTCATCTTTATAAAACACCTGTAGTCCTTGAAGGATAACTCACCGTTTATCTCCCTTTAGTTCCCATGACCGTTGTATATATACTGATTGTCTCCCTTCATCTTTATAAAACACGTGTAGTATTTTAAGGATTACTCACTGTTTATCTCCCTTTAGTTTCAATGACCGTTGTTTACATACTGATTGTCTCCCTTCATCTTTATAAAACACGTGCAGTTTTTAAAGATAACTCAGTTTATCTCCCTTTAGTTTCCATGACCGTTATGTATACATACTGATTGTCTCCCTTCATCTTTATAAAACACGTGCAGTTCTTTAAGGATTACTCACTGTTTATCTCCCTTTAGTTTCCATGACCGTTGTATATATACTGATTGTCTCCCTTCATCTTTATAAAACACGTGTAGTATTTTAAGGATTACTCACTGTTTATCTCCCTTTAGTTTCCATGACCGTTGTATATACTGATTGTCTCCCTTCATCTTTATAAAACACGTGTAGTCCTTTAAGGATTACTCACTGTTTATCTCCCTTTAGTTTCCATGACTGTTGTATACATACTGATTGTCTCCCTTCTTCTTTATAAAACACGTGTGGTCCTTTACTCACTGTTTATCTCCCTTTAAACTTTTCGAATAATAATTATTGACAAATTTCCTTTACTTTTGTACATGTATATATACTGATTGTCTCCCTTCATCTTTATAAAACACATGTAGTCCTTGAAGGATAACTCACCGTTTATCTCCCATTAGTTCCCATGACCGTTGTATATATACTGGTTGTCTCCCTTCATCTTTATAAAACACATGTAGTATCTTTAAGGATTACTCACTGTTTATCTCCCTTTAGTTTCAATGACCGTTGTTTACATACTGATTGTCTCCCTTCATCTTTATAAAACACGTGCAGTTCTTTAAAGATAACTCAGTTTATCTCCCTTTAGTTTCCATGACCGTTATACATACATGCTGATTGTCTCCCTTCATCTTTATAAAACACGTGCAGTTCTTTAAGGATTACTCACTGTTTATCTCCCTTTAGTTTCCATGACCGTTGTTTACATACTGATTGTCTCCCTTCATCTTTATAAAACACGTGTAGTTCTTTAAGGATTACTCACTGTTTATCTCCCTTTAGTTTCCATGACCGTTGTTTACATACTGATTGTCTCCCTTCATCTTTATAAAACACGTGTAGTATCTTTAAGGATTACTCACTGTTTATCTCCCTTTAGTTTCCATGACTGTTGTATACATACTGATTGTCTCCCTTCTTCTTTATAAAACACGTGCAGTTCTTTAAAGATAACTCAGTTTATCTCCCTTAGTTTCCATGACCGTTATTACATACATACTGATTGTCTCCCTTCATCTTTATAAAACACGTGTAGTTCTTTACGGATTACTCATTGTTTATCTCCCTTTAGTTTCCATGACCGTTGTTTGCATACTGATTGTCTCCCTTCATCTTTATAAAACACGTGTAGTATCTTTAAGGATTACTCACTGTTTATCTCCCTTTAGTTTCCATGACTGTTGTATACATACTGATTGTCTCCCTTCATCTTTATAAAACACGTGCAGTTCTTTAAAGATAACTCAGTTTATCTCCCTTTAGTTTCCATGACCGTTATACATACATTCTGATTGTCTCCCTTCATCTTTATAAAACACGTGTAGTCCTTTAAAGATTACTCACTGTTTATCTCCCTTTAGTTTCCATGACCGTTGTAAATATACTGATTGTCTCCCTTCATCTTTATAAAACACGTGTAGTCCTTTAAGGATTACTCACTGTTTATCTCCCTTTAGTTTCCATGACCGTTGTATATATACTGATTGTCTCCCTTCATCTTTATAAAACACGTGTAGTTCTTTAAGGATTACTCATTGTTTATCTTACTTATTGGAAGCCTTTAGTTCAGGAGTAGGTAACCTGATCGCTTATGAATTGAGAGGTCCGGGGTTTGAATCTCGATCCAGGCAATACTGAATGTCTTTAGTGATGTAAATATCTTTTTCCCAAAGAATTAAGCAAAATATGAAAAGAAAAAAGTATAATTGTATTTAGAAATAAAAAAGAATGTACATAAATGATATTTAAATGCAGGTTTGAAACTCTGCCAAGCAAAACTCTATATGTGACAACTCATTTAATCTAGATGGTTAAAGTATCATATATCTTTACAGCTTGTTTAATATGTATAACTGAAGATGATTTTGGTATGTTTTATTAACTGTCGTACATAGTTGCTGATGCGTCATTCTTGAGTCCATGTGAAAAGCGGAGTCTTTCTATTTTACGTGTATGAATTTATTTCAGATGGAAGAAATGTTAAAAGCAATGATCACTTGTTACTAAAAGTCACTTTGTTAATTGTAAAGATGTATAGATAAAAAATAATACTAATAATAAAATAATAATAATAGAATATAATAATAATAATAATAATAATAATAATAATAATAATAATAATAATAATGATGATGATGATGATGATGATGGTGATTACGACGACGATGATGATGATGAACTGACTGGTGAAATTTTCTAATATTTTGAAAAATAAATATCTTATAATTTTTTTAAAAAGAATTAAAGTAACGAAAAGCTGATACCAAGACTGGTTATAATATTTGAAAAAGAATAAAAGTAACGAAACGCTAATTCCAAGACTGGTGCCGATTAGGTTTTGTAATCCTTAAATTTACTATGAATAAGGTGAAAGTGTATCTTATTTTATTTCTTATATTGCTCATCTTTTTCTTATTGTTTTTATATATATTTACATGTTTTGTATTGTATAAAATTTTATCAATAAAATATTCTAAAGTTACACGAGTTCGGAATATATGTTTATTTCAGATGGTTGAATATTTAAAAGTAAAAATCGTACGGAAAATGGCAAATTATTTATATACCCAGCTGCTAAAGATAGTGGTTACTTGGAAATTTTTTAGTTACACATGAGCATAAAAGTGGCAAATTCAATATCAAAATTTGCAGACATGTTTTTACCACAAAATGGTTTAATTTGTACTGAAATAAGATATCTATCAGATATTTGGTTTCGTGTAAATAGCGAGAGGATGAAAAGTTAAAGTTGCAGAATTTTGATTTTTTTAATGTATTTTTTGTCACATGACCATTAGTCAGTATATGTTGCGTTTAACTCATCTACGAATCAACGAAAATGTTTGAGACTGCACGAGCCTGCACGAGCCTGACGTAACGTCGTATGTACTTGGGTTTGAATGATGCTCCATTAAAAAAATCAAAGTACCTAAAGATACAAACGCATTTACAAAAGGCAAAATTCTGAAACTTCTATTTTTCATCCCTCAACCTCACGCAGCCAAAGTTCTGATAATGACCAAAGTTTAATTAGATATAAACCATCGTGTTATCAATACATTTCTGCAAATTTTGATACCAAATATGCTAATATTTGGGTTTAATAAGTATTCATTATTTCACTTTTAATTAACTAAGTGCACACTTTCTTTTGCAACTCGGTATATATTCCCTCTGACAATAATAAATAATAGCGTTTCAAAGTATAACTCAGTTATTACGGACCCCCACCCCCCAAAAAAACAAAAAATTAAATAAAAAAATAAATAAATGAAAAAATAAAATAGATCTAATTGTGCAAAAACGTATACAATCCCTCGGTCACCTCGATTTTAGGTATTATCAAATATTTAATCCAACCGGAAGTGGCACCTTAGTCTTTGCCACCACCCTTCATCTGTATAGAGCCCGGTCTGCTGAATTAAAAAAAAAGTAACAGCCACCGCTACCGTTAAAGGGAAAGTTAATGCACGTCTGTTTTTTAATGTAAACCATATAATTATACTACTCAACTTTTGCTAATTACCATGAGTTAATTATTATATTATCACAAGTATAAAACAAATTTCTTCCAATTTTTAAAAATTCTGATTCAGCAATGTTTGAGATACTCGTAGTCCCCTGACATGAATCCGTGTTGACTTATCCGTTACAACTCTTCTAGGTATTAAAAAACAATATTGACCTGGCACTTCATTATCTTTCGTAAAGGTCATTTGAATCAACACTGACCAGTATCTATCGAATATATCGATATATTTGCTAACTTCACTCGTCAGTGAGATGTGGATGTCGCACTAACGATCTGAAGGTCTCTGGTTCGAATCCTTATCAATACGTTATGATTTTTTTATTTACTTGCAAGAATTAATTTAATATCATTTTACAACACCGTGCTTTATAAGGCCCTTTAAGTGGTGTCTTTATATACAATTGTTTATTTTACATTTTTTGTGACATTATGCAATCGTAAATGCTTTAGAGCATGCACGCTTTATTTAAAACTACACATACACACTACAAAAATAGTTTTAATAGTTGAATATAAATTTACACTCGTATCGATTTACAAGTAGATCGTAACGCCGATTACATGTACAGGGTCAAATGCAAGAGTGCCATGTCAATGTTGTTTGACAATAGCATGGAAAACATGCACCCCAATATTTCCATTTTTGATGAGGTGTACAATCACATGTCTTTTGTTATACGGCGAAATTACCGGCATATTGTCATTCAGTGGGTTACAAGCACGGTCAAAAAATATCCAGACTTTTCATGATCCTCTCTTTCCACGTGCAGCTATATACACACATTATATATTGGTGATCGCCAATAAAGTGGTCAGTTTTTTTTCAATGATAGTTGTGTAAACACAGTATTTTGCCCTCTGATATATGATAGGTGTTTCGTCTATCATGGACTCTTTGTTAGAGGAACACCGCTCTGTAATAAAGTTTCTGGTTGCAGAAGCAGAAAAGCCCCGCAACATCTTTCAGAGGCTTAAAAAAAGATTTTCTGATAAATGTGTATCACTGTCACTGCTATAGTATCAACAGCTAACAATGCCACAAGTCCAACTCTACAATCACTGCCACTGCTACAGTATCAACATGCAACAATGCCACAAGTCCAACTCTACAATCACTGCCACTGCTACAGTATCGACAGCTAACAATTCCACAAGTCCAACTCTACAATCACTGTCACTGCTATAGTATCAACATGCAACAATTCCACAAGTCCAACTCTACAATCAATGTCACTGCAACAATTCCAGCTAACAATTCCACAATTCTAACTGAAAGAAATCACTGTAGCAGTATCAACAGCTAAAAATTCTTCAAGTCTAACTCTACAATAACTGTCATTGCTAAAGTATCAACAGCTAACACAAGTGTAACACTACTATTATTATCACTTCTAGGGGATCCCATAGTAAATTGGTTAAGATGGCCAGCTTCAAAACACTTCAACCTCACAACTGTGGGTTCAAATTACATAAGGAACTTTATATTCTTTCATTTGAGAAAGTATACAACTAGGATGGTGGTTCTACTTAGGTGTCCCAAATGTGCCTGAAATAGTGCATGATGGTCTTCCTTTACCATTTTAAGCTGGAAAGTTGCCATGTAACCTTTACAGTGTCCAGGTGACAAAACAAACAATCCAAACTATCAATGCTGAAGTATTCACAGCTAACATTTCCACTAGTCTCTCAATACTATCAATATAACTGCTACAGTATCAACAGCAAACTACATGAAATATACTTCTTTGATTACACTTTTAATACTTACATTTGTATCACTATCACTGCTTTAGTACTACAACCACTAAATTATCAATAATTACCACTACATCACTATTGCTGCTACAGTATCTTCAGCTAATAGTCAACCACATAGCTTCCTTTACTTAGCTACAGTATCTTCAGTTTACTATGATATCACATAGTAGTAGTATTAACTGAAGATTCTGTAGCAATGATAGTGAAAGTGACTACTAAGACCACTATTTTACCCATTCCTGAAATTTCATCTATCATGGGGGGGGGGGGGGTGCCAGATGAGTCACATGCTATACAATGGCATTCTAAGGATGATATGACTTTGCCGAATGGAATGAAGTTGTAATTTCATACGCAGTTATAAGAAATTAGTTACGGGTGTAATGACATTAATTTCCATGGAAAGTTGTTTTATTAAGATAAAGTATTTAAAATATGATTGAATATGGTAGATTATGCAAGAAAAAATTACTGACACATGTTTTCGGTTGAAGGATCAGAATATCTGTCCTTCTGGAACACACCCATGGGCGGGTCCCGTAGGGACAAATCTTCTAATCTGAACAGCAAAATATGACAGATATTATAATTCTGTAACTGTAACAGCTATCACTTCATCACAAACGTTACCATTACTACAACAGCTACTTTCACAATGACTGCTACGGTGATTTACAGTTACCTCTAGTTACACTAAATTCATACAACGCCAATCACTGCAATTGTTATAACAGCTTTAAGATACAGCACAAGTACAAAATATAAGTGGCAGTTACAGCTGTTACAAACTATTTTCAACTCTGTTGATGAGGATGATGCTTAATGACCTATGTATGAAATATACAGAAGTCAGTGCTTAGTTGTAAATGATGTAATTGAAAGATCTCGTGAAACATATTACAAAGACAAAATAAAATCGTGTGGTAATGATCAAAAACAAATTTTCAAAGTAACAAATCATCTCCTCGGAAACAAACCTGAAGTTAAGCTCCCATCACACACTTCTGCTAAAGAACTAGCTCAAGATTTTAGTGATTTCTTTGAAAACAAAATTGAAAAAATCAGATCTGACATAGCATCTAAAAAATGAATGTAATATAACAAATGAATCTAATTCAACTCAAAATACAAAAGCCTAAAGAAACATTCAGTGAATTTGAAGTTATTACAGAAGAGCAAGTTCTTAAGCTCATATCAAAGTCATCTACTAAATCATGTGAACTAGATCCGATACCGACTTGGCTCCTAAAAGAATGCAAACTTGAAGTATCACCATATCTAACGCACATGTTCAACTTATCATTTTACACCGCCGACGTACCTCCACGCAATAAGACTTCGATAATCAGACCAATATTAAAGAAAGACAATTTGGATCAAGAAATTATGAAAAACTTTAGACCAGTTGCTAATGAAACATATGACTCAAAACTTCTAGAATCTGCGGCTGACTGTCAGTTTGATATGTTTCTCAACACTAACAATCTACATGAACCAAATCAATCTGCATACAGGAAATTTCATTCCACAGAAACTGCACTTATCAAAGTGCAAAATGACATTCTCCAATCTCTTGACAAAGGCGAAGTTACAATATTAGTAATGCTCGATTTATCTGCTGCCTTTGACACGATTGACCACAACACTCTTCTTAATCGACTCGAATGTGACTTTGGTTTTACTGGAAAAGTGCTCGCTTGGTGTAGATCTTATCTCAGTGGTCGCTATCAGACTGTTTGTATTGATGGAGAACTATCTGACCCTGTGCATATGACATACAGTGTCCCTCAGGGCTCTGTATTAGGACCAAAATTTTACATACTTTTCACAAAACCTGTTGGCGAATTTTTGTCGAAAACATGGTCTGCAATGTCACTTCTATGCTGACGATTCTCAAATATACATTTCTTTCAAACCGTTGGACAACACCAAAAACTGAACTTGTACTTGATTCTGTCTCAAACTGCTTAAAAGAAATAACATTCTGGATGAACAGCAACATTCTCAAACTGAATTCAGACAAAACAGAACTTATAGTCTTTTCGTCGGGTAGCAATACAGACTCAGTGAAAAATATAACTGTCAATGTGGACCAAGTTGAAATCAAACAGTCATCAAGTGTAAGGAATTGGGTGCATTCCTTGATTCAAGGGTTAATATGGAACATCATGTTAGCTCCGTGTGCAGATCTT